CGGTAGCAAAATTTTGTTTGCTGGATTTACACGTCATTAAAAGTAAAAAAAAGCAGTGATTTTGCTGGCATTTTAACGTGCCACCTGTTATTTAACTGACGGAAGGACCATTTTGGTACCAAAAATGAAAGTTTAAGGATAATTTTGGTACTTTTTAAAGTTGAGGGACAATTTTGGTACCAAAGTGATAAGTTGAGGGACTAAAATGGTACTTAAACCTTCACAAAACACCACAAGCCAAATTCTAAATTTCAATCAAAATCCAAAAATAAATGACAATTAATTTTTTTAATAAAATAAAACTAATCAACAAGAATTATATAATAGGAAATAAAATTTTAACTATCATAATATGTTTGATTAAATTTTCATATAAAATTAATATTTAAAATTTTTTTAAATCAAATTAAAAGGAATTAAAGTTGAATGGAGGTAGTAAAAAAAATATGAGTAATAACTGGTATACCTTTTGATTTAACACATCTGCGAACATGATTCAGTTATTAAATTTTAGGTTAAATCTCTAATTTGATTTCTCAATTATTGTATAAACCTCTGATTTGGTTCTGAACAAAAAAAAACCTTGAGTTGATCTTTTCTGTTTATCCATTTAACCTTAAGTTGGTCATTCCATAATAGATGACATGTCTCATTATTAATGTAATATATAACAATTAAGTAATAATTTTTTGCTATTAACAAATTGACACATTAGTATTTTTTAACGAAAAAACTAAATTGAGGTCAAATTGGTAAATTAAGAACAAAATCAAGAGTTCGTACAATAATTAAAGAATTAAATTATGGATTTATCCTAAATTTTATAAATGAAATTTTTTCCACTTTAAATTCAAGTTTGAAATTAATAATCTTTTAATAAATATGTTGTAAAATATATTAAATTAAAAAACATACCAATTATTATTAAAAAATAAATAACAGAAAACAATAAGATAGAGAGAGTGGATGTTTATGGAAGTACATTATTTAATAAAGTACTAAACAGTTTGGCTAGAAAAACTGAAGTAATAGACAGAACTTTGAATTCACAAATCAATGTCTTCCAACATTTTACTCCACTAACAGTAAAATTTGATCAAATAATAGTCTTATTTATTCTGAAACACAACAAAGTAAGGCAAAAGGTGCAGATCAGCCCCTAAACTCAACAACTGGTGGCAAATCACCCCCTCAACCCACTTCACGCGCAAATCAGCCCCTCAACTCCCTTGCAGTGGCAAATCA